GTTTGGGAGCAGTTTTACACTGCACTGACTCGTCATGCGTTTGGTTTCACTGCTCTCTAAGAAATTAGCTCCTGCTTATGTTGTTGCCTTTTTATCTAGATAGTTAATGAAAATGGGAAGTGGACCGGATCAAATCAGATCAAACTAAATTCCGTCAGTCAGTGCCACACATGCTGCTCCCTCAGAAACTGACATTAACAGTCTTCACTGTATAGAGCGTGGTTATTCTGGTCGCTGTCTGCCAACAGAGGCTGCTTCTGGCAGCAGAGTACAGGAGATCTGTGCCAAGGGGAAGTAGTTCACAAATAAATACTGAAAAGATGTGCTATATTGCATTGCAGGGCATGAAATTGTCTTCCACTGGCCTGCTAATCTTATCTAACAAATCCAATACAAACTATCTATTCTGGTTTGTTGGCCAGCATAAACTTGATTGCCAACTGTACCCAAACTGTTCAATATCTAGCCAGCAGTGTGTGGAGAATGTTTACATTGGCCCTAATGTCTGGAGGTAGGCTATTAGTTTGTGTCATGGTGTCTGTGAAAAATAACAGTGTACAATGTTCTTGAATATTTCATTAACTGCATGTGACTGAATCACTAAACATAATAGTTTTAAGCAAACTCCTACCCGGTAGTGCTAAATAGTTCTCTCAGCACAGAGAGAACAGTGGTGCCTAGCCATGAATGATGAAACTAGATGACTAATAAATATAAAATCCATTCTATTAGCATTCTTGGGTTTCTTTTCTGCTTCACTGTTTGTTCTAAGCAAAGGTTTTTTAAAATATGTTTTTGAGAGCTTTTTACGTGTGAACTCTCTGATGGTTTTGGTCATAGAAATGCCCTTGGGGTTGTGCCACAGTGTGCTGATCAAGCCACTGATTCCTGCCTTACTCCCCTTCCCTCCTACTCTGTTGGAAGGCTCATATGCTCCCTCCTTTTTTTGTGCTGCTTTGATCGTTCCTTCCTCCTTCACCAGTATAAACTACTTAATTGTGAGAATTGGGTATCCCTTGAACAACTGAAATTATGGTAAAAGAAATACAAAATGCTCCCTTGACCAGATGCATTTGTAAGAAGTTCAGTCTCTTTGGGGGACACTGAGATGTTTAAACTGTAGGTATTTTCCTTCTATAAAACAGTCCTTTTTCACATTGGACTCATTTGTCTGTCTGTTGCTCAAATAAGAAAGTAAATTACTTCTTGTTGTTATATTCTTGCAACAAATTAGTGTTAAAGAATTACGGTTTATGCCACAGACCTTAGTTTGTCTTGTCTGATTGCTTAGAAAGAAAACATGTTAATTTATCTTCTGTGAAGGGACATTTTAAAATTCTGGATAAAGGAGCTTATTTGTAGGAAGAGGAGGAAATTCTAAAGGGTTATACCAAAGTTCAGATTTGGTTTAGGGAGGATCCCAGTTTGTGGCTCTGTGCATTGAGGCAGATATGAGATACCTTGTCATCTCTGTTTGAGCCCGAGTCAGCTGGATTTGTAGATTTCATGTAAGGAGAACAGTTCCTGAAAGTTTGTTGACCTTTATTTAGAGGGCATTTTCTTAAGATGGCAAAAAGAAAGTTGGCTGGTACAAAGGCAATATGCATGCTTTGAGAACTGGGTCATGGCCAAACAGGCAATGTGGTGCCATTTTATTTGCCAGGGACACTGCTTTGTCTTGTACGTCTAAGTTGTGCAAAAAAACCCTCCAACAACCTTGTGTTTTTAATGCACATTAGTTAACCCACATTAGCAAACTTATGTTAAAATAGTAGTCAAGATATGGCAGATCTGCTTTTTTAACTCAGTTTAGCAAATCAAATTCAGCTACGTCCAATATAGGCTTATAATCAGGCTGCTAATCAAGTTACCAGAACTTGTTTGTTTTATTTTATAGTGTAAACATACTCTTTCAAGAAATATTGGTTATTTTTGGTACTTGTTTTTGCTGTACTTTGAATGCTGCAGAAGTATTTTCTAGGAAGGGTAATGATGGGGTTGAAAAGGCTGATGGCGGTGAATGGGCTCGAGGTTTCATTATTGTTACTTCATATATACTGAAAGGATAATATAAGTATGTGGATGCTGTAATTTTTAGTGGGAGGGGCTATTGATTCACTTAAAAGCAGATGCCAATTAATTAGTCAGCTCCCAGAAGACTATTACGATGCTGATTATGCATCAGAGTAACACCTTTTGTGTGGAAGCTTCAGGGGGTAGCTGAGTTAGTCTGTTACAGAAAAAACAACAAATGGTCTGGTAGCACTTGATAGACTAACAAATCATGTAGATGGCATCATGAGCTTTCATGGGCACAGCCCACTTCTTCAGATGACTGATTGATGTGAACCAATGTTTGTATGGTCCAGTTTTACTTTCAATATCTTCTGCAGGTAGCATGGTCACCATTGCACTTTGCATTAGCATGCTGTCAGGGGTGGCCCTAGACTAGCTGCCAGCAGCTGGTGCCGGCCTAGGCGAACCATGCAATCGGTGCCCACACCTCCAAACCCCTCAATGATCTTGCACCACCATTTATCTCCCCATTTAACTTGGCGCTCTAGGCAACCGCCTAGTTCACCTATATGGATGGGCAGCCCCTGCATGCTGCACATTGGAAAAACTTGTTTACTGAATGCTGATCATTACAAACAGTTTTAAAATAATATAGCCTTTCTGTTCTGGGTCATCAGACCTTCATGTAAGCTTGGCCATATGTTCTGTGCTGGGACAAATGTCCATTAATTAGCTTCTGCTTTTTTCCAGACTTCTAAGTTTATGGGTTGCAAGGAGTGTTAGGTGGATATTGTTGCTAATGAGTTAGACATGTAAATTCCTTGCATTAAATGGAAAATAAATCTCATACGCAGGTGACAACTGCAGAGCTATATCAATTTGCACCTTTATTATGTCTGTCCCAACTTGGTCTTTGTTTGGAGACAGCTGTTCTGATTATTGAATACTTGCCAAACACATGGAAATTCTAGAATGCTGGAATTTTTAGAAGTCCAAGTACTTTTCTAGAATAGCCTTTATCTTACACTTGGCCTTGGGTGCTCCTTGAACAAACTGTGAATTAGAAAAATATTGTGCTGCTTCTTTGTGTCTTGCCTCACTCTGAACAGGGCTGTCTTTCCAAGTTTGTCAGGAACTGAGCAAACTTTTCTAGAAGTTGGTGTTTAAAAGTTGAGAAATTCAAGTAACTTGAGTTCTTATTAACTTGACCATGAATGTAATGGATGTATGAACCTAATTTTATGTATCCAACTTGGGATGTTTGAATCCTTGTCTCTTATTGACATGAGTTTCCTGGCTGAAATTAGAAGAGGCCTTTCACACATTGATCCCTATATGTTTACATTCCCAGTCCTTTTTAGATCACAGTTACTGTTCAGTAACCGGCTCCCTGGGTGTACCGACTCCTACGGATTTGCTTGCTCCCCCCTTGCCTCCTGCACATCAGCTCCCAGGGAGCTGTCCCTCCCATGAGTAAATGTGTAACCACTGAAATTTTTCAGCAGTTAAAATGCATCTCTTTGGGTAAACTTGTAACATCCATACTGCAGTGACCCCATCAGTTACAGCCTGTTTGTTAAAGACTCACTTTATACTGTCCACTTCCTCCAAATGATAAATTCTACTTCAGTGTATGTACGTAACTCTCATTAACACTAATGAAAGTTTCCCATGTGCAGTGAGGGAAGGCTATCTGCCTTCAAGATGGAACAGCCTGTTCATATTTTTCCTATCTATATACTTAGTGATACATGTCTTTATATGCTTTTCTGAAAGAGTAAAATAAAAAAGACAATATATGCTGGTTGAAACAGAAGTAGTTTAAACTTAAGACTTAATTAATACCAAATCCTTACCTTGGGCAATTGTACCTTCTGATCACTTCCACCCCCATATATTCGAATTAACCATTGTACTCCATTTGATGTGTTTTAAGGTCATAAACCTGAACTAATAACCTCATATCTACTAGGCAATTGCCTATCTTAAAAGACTACTTTAAATATCCTTAAGATTTGCAGTAGTTTGGGGATGATCTGTAGTGTGATTGGTTATTCTGTACTCAACAACCAGTTTTTGCCCCTGGGAACAGGTGTTATTGGAATCAATGAGGGATCTTTTACTTGTTTTGTCAGAAATCTCCTAGGGTGTTATGCTATGTTAGTCTGTATCTTCAGAAACAACAAGGAGTCCTGTGGCACCTTAGGCCTGCTCTACACGACATAGAAAGGTCAAAGTAAGATATGCAATTTCAGCTATGCAAATTACATAGCTGGAGTCAATGCATCTTACATCGCGTTTCTGCACAGTCCACACAGCAAATGTTCCCATCCACTTCCCTTACTCCTCAGGAGTAGAAGGGTATCAGTGCTGATGGGGGGGTGCCCTTTGAGTTCAATGTAATGGGTCTATACTAGAGTTGCTAAATTGAACCCCAGAAGATCGACTGCTGTGGTGTTGATCTTCCATGTAATGTAGGCATGCCCTTAGAGCAGGGTTGGGGAACCTCAGGCCCTGGCTTGCCTGGACCTGGCCTCCGAGGCTCAGGGCCTCTCCAGCATTGGGGAGCACAATCTACTAGGCTAGGCCTCCCTAAACTCTGGTGTGTGAGGGCAATGTGGGGAGTGTCTTTCTCCTTCTCAGTTGGGGGCCACGTCAGTGAGGTTTGTGTTTTTTGTTTCTTTCTTGTGTGCGGCCCCTGACTAATTTTTTTTTTTTGTGTGGGTCAGTGGCCCCCAACCCAAAAATGGTTCTCCACCCCTGTCTTAGAGACTAACAGATTTATTAGCGCATAAACTTTCAGGGGTAAAACCCACTTCATCAGATGAGTTGGAGTGGAAATTACAGAGGAAGGGAGATATATATAAACAGCAAAAGAAGCTACTTGTCAAATCAGAGTGGATGTGTCTCATTCACAGCATTTTGATGTGGAAGATGTATCAAGAGAAGGGAAATGAGTCTCTCTCTCTCCCCCTCCCTCCCAGGGGTTTCTGTGCACGTCTTGTATAGGAACTGCTTTGCACATGGACATTGAAGGATTTGGAGAACTTCTCCAGCAGGCGGAACAGCTTGCAGCTGAGACAGAGGGAATCTCTGAACTTCCTCATGTAGAACGCAACCTGCAGGAGATCCAGCAGGCTGGAGAGCGTCTGCGGTCCCGGACTCTGACCCGCACATCGCAGGAAACTGCAGATGTCAAGGCGTAAGTACTTGAGTTTTCAGGACTCTCTTTAGAGATAGCAGTGCTGAAGAGACAGCCTATTAGCTCATTTAATTCCTCATGAAAATCTAACATATTTAAAGATCTTATAATGGAGCTGTGAACTACTTTGGGAAGAAGCTCCTATGTCTGTAAAGGTCTACACATCTCCTGTTTGTGCTATACACATACTGTTTTCAGTGGTGGTAATTTGATAGGTATGATTAATCTCACCAACAGTCTCTTACCTTTAATGTGCATCTGTTTATAACATGTGACTTGATATCCCTCAGTCCTGCTTTTGTGTGTCTACCTACAGGGAATCAGAACATACACAAAAAGACTGTCAATAATCCTGACTTTATAAAGACCTGCTTCATGTTTAGTTTGCCTATGGATTTCCCAGACATAAATCCAGACCAGGTTTTTTGCACAGGGACAGGCTACATCTTAAATTTGATTGATTAAAAGAATGCAATTTGTCCCAACCTAACCCCATACCACCCGTGATCTTCTGCTACCTGTGACTGCCTTAGAACAGGGTGTTAAGCTACTCTGAACAGCACATTTAAAATAGGGAGGGAATATGGTCTTGTGGATCAAATGTTGGACTGGTACTCAGGAAATGTGGGTTCTATTCCTGGTTCTGCAACTAAAGAAGGGCAAGTTACTTAAGCTCTCTACGCCTTTGTAAAATTAGGATAATGACACTGCCCTGCATCACAAGGGAGTTTTGGGGATAATAGGTTAATGCAGTGGTCACCAACCAGTAGATCTTTGGAGCCTCTGACAGGTGATCCTCACTGCTTTGTCCTGGAAACTATCAAGCGCCAGCACTTCGATTGCCCCTTCCTCCACTGTGATGCTGCTCCTCCTCACTGCCTTAGAGCTGTCACCCTGGGAGCCTCCTGCTTGCTGTGCAGAGTGTGGTAGGGAGAGGGGCGGGTGCTCCTGATGCCAGGGTGTCCATCCTCCCCCCACTCCTGTACCCTGCCTCCACACAGACAGCTGGGGATGGAGGGAGCTTGGCAATGCAAATCTCTGCCACTCTCACAAACACACGTTACCTTTACTCTCATCTCCGAACCCAACACATATGTGCATTGTTGTTACTTCTTTTACTGCTTGCTAAGTGGATTCTTTTTGGGTTTTGACTGCTCTGTGCATTTCATCATTTTCATTTCTCCCTTACGCTTACATTTCATTCTTTGAGTAGTGAGTTCTAAAATGCCAAACCTGTCGTGGTTGGAGCCATTATCCCTGTGGTAATTGCTGTTGCTGGAGGTGGTTGGCATATCCCTGCAGCCCCTGAGAAGGGCAGAGCAGGGGATCTTCACACGCTGTCCTTGCCTGCAGATACCACTCCTGCAGCTTCCATTGATCAATAACAGGGAACCGTGGCCAGAAGAAGCTATTGGGTCAGTGCCTGTAGATGAGGAGCAGCACATGGCGCCATAGAGCCTTTGCTGTACATACCAGCTGCTTTCAGGAGTGGTGCAGGGCCAGGGCAGGAGAGAGCCTACAGCAACCCCACGGCTCTACTACCCAGAACCCATCTCAGTTACGTGATGCCCAGCCAGAGCTTGCATCCTGAATCCCTGTGCCAGTCCCAAACCCCTTCCTGCACCCAACATCCTGCCCCAGACATGAGTCCCCCTGAACCCAAACTCCTTTCTAGAGCTTGCACCCTGAACCCACTCCTGGACCCTAATCCCCCGCCCTGGACTAAGCCCCAAGTCCCTCCCACACTCTGAACCCTTTGGCCCAAGACCAGAGCCTGCACCTCTACCCCAGCCTGGTGAAAGTGAATGACGTTTGGAGAGGAAAGGGGTGGAGTAAGCAGGGTGAGGCCTCCGAGAAGGGTGGAGCAGGAGCTGTGCCTCAGAGAAGGGCGGGGGGAAGGAAGACAGGTAAGGGTATTTGGGTTTGAGGTAGATCTTACATTGCACTTAAATAAAAAAAAGTGATCTTGTGGTTAAAAAGGTTGGAGACCACTGGGTTAATGGTTTTTGTGAAGAACTTAGATAGTACTGCATAAGGGCAGTGGTTCCCAACCTTTTCAAGCATTCGGACCCCTTTTCAATCTATTAAAATTTCACAGACCACACCTCTTACTAGAAAAAGAAAAGTAAGGATAAAAAAGAAAAATGGTGGGCCTGATGCTTATTTTTAAACTTTCCACATACCCAGGTAGTACCGCTGGGGACCACCAGGGGTCCACGGACTTCAGGTTGGGAACCGCTGGTATAGGACCCTGTCAGAAGACGAGGAGGGTGGCTGACTGGCATCTCTAGCTTCAGATAGAAAATGAAAAATTGTCATAGTTCCCTTATGAACAGCACAGACCCTGGCCGTGCCTTCTAATGCAGTTTGGCCAAAGAGCATGTTCAGTTAGCTATTTGCACTTTTCCTGACATGGAGCCTGGAGGGAAACAGCTGAGTGGAGCTGGAGGAGAAATTTAACATCATCAATTGGATGGGCAAATAATTTTTAATTTTTTCTGCCACTAAGTCAATAACTCAGATGCAGTAAAACTGGTGAAAAGCTAGGGATATTAAGTGTAAGTCTGATTGGAAACTTGTGCACTGGGAGATAAGTAAATATTTTTGGGCTTGGCTGTCCTTAGTCACCAGCTGTGATGGGATATTCCTAGTTTATTTAGGAGAACATCCCATATTCCCATTCATGTTAAAATTTCTCTTTCTGCATTCCATATTTCTGCACTGAAGTTCTCTGGCAGAAATGCATTCTGGCTGGCTGGTAAGTGGGTTCTGAATTTTTATAGGCTAAAGCTCTGTTTTTCATGACTCTCAGTCTATTTTAAATCCTTTTTTCTCTGTTGGCTAAAAGACTCTGTTAAAGAACCATAAGAACATTAAGAATGGCCATATTGGGTCAGAACAAAGGTCCATCTAGCCCAGTGTCCTGTCTGCCGACAGTGGCCAATGCCAGGTGTCCCAGAGGGAGTGAACACAACAGGTAATGATCAAGCGATCTCTCTCCTGCTATCCATCTCCACCCTCTGACAAACAGAGGCTGGGGACACCATTCCTTACCCATCCTGGCTAATAGCCATTAATGGACTTAACCTCCATGAATTTATCTAGTTCTCTTTTAAACCCTGGTATAGTCCTAGCCTTCACAGCCTCCTCAGGCAAGGAGTTCCAAAGGCCAAATGGTTACCTATTAAGATAATGGTTATGGTAGAAGGCAAATGTCTGCATCTTGGGTATAGTGGCATACCCATAATTACGACACTGTCATTTCAGATTTAAACATCTGAAACCATGAAATATTCCAATTTTCAAATCTTAGGTCCATGAAATTGACCATAATGAATCCTGAATTTAGTAGGGCCGTACACATAGGGCATGTTTTCTAGATCTTTAATCATTTTTATTGCTTTTTGCTGGACTTTATTCAATTTGTCCACATTATTCTTGAAACGTGGTGCTGAGAACTGGACACAACACTCCAATTGAGACCTAATCAGTATGGAGTAGAGCGGAATAATGACTTGTCGTGTCATAAGAATGACCATATTGGGTCAGTCCAAAGGTCCATCTAGCGCAGCATCCTGTCTGCCAACAGTGGCTAATGCCTGATGCCCAGTAGGGAGTGAACAGAACAGGTAATCCTCAAGTGATCCCTCTCCTGTCATACATTCCCAGCTTTTGACAAACAGGTTAGGGTCACCATTCCTGCCCATTATCGCTAATAAATATTGATGGACCTAAACTCCAGGAATTTAACTAGTTCTTTTTTGATCCCTGTTAAAGTCCTGGTCTTCACAACATCCTTGTCTTGTTTACAAGACTCCTGTTAATGCATCCCGGAACAATGTTTGCTTTTTTTTGCAACAGCATTACACTGACGACGCCTATTTAGCTGGTGATCCACTATGAATGGCTTTCAAATAAGGAGAGATGAACAAGACTGGGACTCTTTGGCTTGGAAAGGCTAAGACTAAGAGGAGACATGATAGGGGTCTATGAAATCATGACTGGTGTGGAGAAAGTAAATAGTTATTTACTTGTTTCCATTACGTTAGAACTAGGGGTCACCAAATGAAATTAATAGGCAGCAAGTTTAAAACTAAGAAAAGGAAATATTTTTTCACACAATGTATAGCCTGTGGAACTCTTTGCCAGAGTACGTGGCGAAGGTCAAGACTCTAATAGGATTCAAAAAAGAGTTAGATAAATTCATGGAAGATAGGTTCATTGACAGAGGATAGCTCCATTGATGGCTATTAACCAGAATGGGCAGGAATAGTGTGCCTAGCCTCTGTCTGTGGGGAGCTCAGGCCCCACATGGACAGGGGCTGCTGCCACCCCAAGCTGCTACCTCTGTATCAGAGGCAGCAGCACAGGGTGGCAGGCAGCTGATCTCTGAGCGGAGCTAGTTTTTAAGCTGATGCAGTGAAGCCAGTGCTTTGGGGGGAGCCGGCTTAAAAGCCTAAGAACCAGCTCCTGCCTGCCCCTGCCCCACTGTCTCTGTGGGAGGCAGCAAGGGGGACAGGTAGCTCTGCGGAACTGGCACGCGTGGAGAGCCAACTTAAAAGCCGGATCCCCACACGTATTGACTGCCGCCCTTCCCCATCGCCACTGCTGCCTCTGATAGGAGACATCTTGAGAGGCGGCTTCCCGCATGTACTGGCTCCTGCCTGCCCACCTTACCCTCCATGCTGCTGCCTCTCTATCAGAGGCAGCAGCGTGGTGAGAGGTGCGTCAGGCGGCACTGAGTAATCTGGTACTCGTGGGGAACCTCGCCCCCCCGATACAGAGGCAGCAAAGGGCGTGTGTGCATATAGTCCTTTAAATAATTAACCAATTAACCTAGGCTTATCAGTTAATCATTTAAAAAAACTATATGCTAACTAGGGATGTGAACGACTAGTTGACTATCCGATAAGCAAATGCTTATCGGATAATCGACGGGCTAGTCAACTAGTTGCTGCCCCCCCTTTGCTGCCCCTTTCGGGGGGGGGAAGAGGAGGGGCTACTTCAGAGGCAGCACCGTGTGGAGCCTGGGGCCAGACCCTAGGCTCCATGGAGTGCTGCTGCTTTGAAACGTTGTGTGCAGCCTGGGGCCAGCTGGTGACTCCCCTGCTGACCCGGGCTCTGTGTGGCACTGCCGCTTTGAAACACCATGGGGAGCCTGATGTCAGGCTCTTCGCGGTGTTTCAAAGTGGCAGTGCCGCATGGGGTCAGTGGGGGAATCCCCAGCTGATCCTGAGCTCCATGGGGTGGCTGCCATTTTGAAATGCTATGAAGAGGCTGACGCCGGGCTCTCCACTGTTTCAAAGTGGCAGTGTCGCATGGAACCCGGGGACATTCCCCAGCTGATCCCATGCTCTACGTGGTGCTTTCACCTTTGAAATGTAGCAACAACCTAGGGCTGTTGCTACACTACAAAGGTGAAGGCACCCTATCGACCAACCAAATAGTCGATGCAAAATGCATTGACTGTTTGATTAGTCAGTTACTTGATATTTAACATTCCTAACACTAACATCCCTACTGGTAAGTGATTTTCTTCCCCACTCAGAAGCTTAATAGAAAAAATGCTGGAACTTTGAATTTTTGGTAAGTGACTAACGTACTCATCTTCTGAGAGCTAACTCCAAACATTTAAATCCAAGAGGGCAGTATTCTGTTCCAGAATTTTTATGAATGGAAACATTTGACAGCTGTATGGTACTGCAATGAGAACAGTATTCGTTTTGCAAGGGAGAGCCTATTTTCTCTTTACATTCTTTCAGGACGGATAATACTGGATGTTATAAATGATACAGTGATGTCAGAAGAGAAACCTTCTCTATACATCTACAGTCCAAATATTTGTAATGCAGATTTTTTTTTCAGAGCCAATAAAAGTAATCTTATTGGTTTAATTTCAGTTTTCTCCCTTTCCCCCATATAGATCTGTTCTTCTTGGGTCCAGAGGACTTGACATATCCCACATCTCTCAGCGACTGGAGAGTCTTAGTGCAGCCACTACATTTGAGCCTCTAGAGCCTGTGAAGGACACTGATATACAGGTAAGGGCAGTCTGTGACAATCTCAGCTCCTCTGGACTAGGGATGTTAAAATGAGATTATTTTACTAATCGATTAGTTGATAGAATTTTTCTTTTCTTGTGTGTGGTTTCCTGGTAAGGTGAACCACAAAGAAAATAATTTCATGCAGTCAGAAACCTACCCTGAAAGATTTTGGGGTTAGGTTTTGGTTGAGGCGGTAGGCCTTTGTTTGCAAAATTGGATTGTAATGGGCTGCCACGTCTTTCCAGCCTTTAGACTTTTCTTGTGTTTGAGTGGATGAACCATGGTGATTAATTCAGTGATTTCAAGTGACTGGGTTTCGGGACAGCTCTTTTTCTCGGTCAAGCCAGCTTGATTCAACGAACATGGGCAGTGAGCAGCCTTTTCCTTACAAACTTATGCTCTGTATTGTGGATCTTGTGATTGAGTTCATCAATTGGACAATGTTTCACACGGGCCACATTTCCTGCTTTTGACCATAATTAGATGTAGTTTATTATCTGTTTTTGCTGTAAATCACTTTTACAGCATATAGTCACCAGCATCCTACTAGTTTGATAGTTTTAAATGTGACTTGTTTTGATGTGGTCTCATTTTCACCTTATCAGTTGTTTGTGTTATTAAACTAACTTTTTAATAATATTGCTCTTTCCAGCACCAAGAAGAAAGTTGTTGGGTTAATGACTTAGTTAAGAGCTTGTTAGCTAAGGATCTGTAAGTTATTAGAAAATTCCGTTTGTCTTACCGTTATTTAATGAGTTAGAGCAGGGGTCGGCAACCTCTGGCTACCAAGGCAAATTATGGCTGAGTAGGGAGCCAGATGTGGCTCTTTTGCAGCTTCAGCTCAGCCCCCCCACCATCTCATTCCCTTCCAGCAGGGAGCCTGTGCTGGCGCTCCAGTCTTGCAGCCCCTCGCGAGATTGGAGCACCAGCATTGGCTTCCTGTGGGGGTGGGGAGGAGCCCGAGCCTCCCCGCTGGATCTGGCTCCCAGGAAGAAACAGCTGCATGTACTGCTGCTTCCCTTCCCCCTGCTCCGGCTGGGGGAACCGCAGTGCAAGGAAGCATGATAATGTCCAAAGGCTCCACAATGACATTTGCCAACTCCCTCAGTACCTTCGGATGCATTAAATCTGGGCCCATGGATTTGTGTATGTTTAGCTTTTCTAAATAGTTCCTAAGTTGTTCTTTCCCCACCAAGGGCTGTCCACCTCCTTCCCATACTGCATTGCCTAGTGCAGTACAGGAAGTCCCCGGGTTACGTACAAGATAGGGACTGTAGGTTTGTTCTTAAGTTGAATCTGTATGTAAGTCGGAACTGGTGTCCGCTGCTGGAACTGATCAGTTTCAACCGCGGCTGAATCTGGATGCCAATTCTGACTTACATACAGATTCAACTTAAGAAACCCAGGCGTCCCCAAGACAGCTGCTGCTGAAACTGACCAGCGGCTGATTCCAGGAAGCCTGGGGCAGAGCAACTCTGCCTCGGGCTCCCCTTGTCTCCCCAGCTGACCCCGGCCTCCATGCAGAGCTACCCCTTTGAAGCACTGGGACAGCGTTTCAAAGGGGAAGCACAAGGCGGAGCCCGGGGGGGGGGGGGGGGCCCCCCCCGCCCCCCCCCCCCCCCAGCTCCCAGCAGACCAGGGAGACGGGGGTGGCGGGACTGCCCAAGTCCTCCACGGCTTTGCTCCGTCTCCCTGGTCTGCTGACCTGGGAGACGCGGAGCAAAGCCGCAGAGCACGCGGGCAGCGGGACAGTCCAGGCGCGCCACGGCTGTCCCACTGCTGGCGTGCTCCGAGGCTTTGCTCCCCATCTCCCTGGTCTGCTGGTCTCCCCCAGCAGACCAGAGAGACCGGGAGAAGCTTTTCTCGCCCCGGAGGACATGGGTGGCGACCCGCCGCCCGTGAGCTCCGGGGCGAGAAAAGCCCCGTTCGTAAGTGCGGATCCGACGTAAGTGCGGATCCGACGGGGACTGCCTGTAGTCTGGGAGCTGAACTTGTCCGTGAAGACAGAGGGAAAGAAAGCATTGAGTACTTCAGCTTTTCCCACATCCTCTGTCACTAGGTTACCTCCCTCATCCAATAAGGTCCCTACACCCTCTCTGATCACCCTTTTATTGCTAACATGCCTGTAGAATCCTTTGTTATCCTTCGCATCCCTTGCTAGCTTCAATTCCAATTGCGCATTTGCTTTCCTGATAAGTCCCCTGCATTCTCGAGCAATATATTTATACTCCTCCCTAGTCATCTGACCAAGTTTCCACTTCTTGTAAACTTCCTTTTTGTGTTTAAGCTCACCAAGAATGTCCCCGGTAAGCCAATCTGGTTGCCTACCATATTTGCTTTTCTTACTGCGCATCAGGATGGTTTCTTCCTGTGCCTTTAATAAGGCTTCTTTAAAATACGGCCAGCTGTCTAGACTCCTTCCCCTTCATGGAAGCATTCCAGAGAATCCTGCCCATCAGTTTTCTGAGGGAGTCAATGTCTGTTTTTCTGAAGTCCTGAGTGTGTATTTTACTCTCCTTTCTTCCTTCGGTCAGGATCCTGAAATCTACCATCTCATGATCACTGCTTCCCAGGTTGTCACCCTCTTCTACTTCCTCTACTAGTTCCTCCCTGTTTAGAGTAGCAGGTCAAGCTGTGCATGGCCTCTGATCAGTTCCTTCATAACTTGTACAAGGAAGTTATTCCCAACATTCTCCAAAAACTTCCTGGATTGTCTGTGTACTGCTGTACTGGTCTCCCAACAGATGTCAGGGTGATTGAAGTCCCCCATGAGAACTAGGACCTGTGATCTGGAAGCTTCTCTCAGTTGTCTGAAGAAATCCTCATTTACCTTATCCACCTGATCCGGCAGACACCAACCACAACATCACCCCTTTTGCTTCCACGTCTAAACTTAACCCATAGACTCTCAACAGGCTTTTCTCTCTACATATACTGGAGCACTGACCAATCATACTGCTCTCTTTTCTCCCCCTCCTGTTCTTCCTGAACAGTTTATACCATTCCTTGACAGTACTCGAGTCATGCAAGTCATCCCACCAAGTCTCTGTTATTCCAATCAAATCATAATTCTTTGACTGGGCCCGGGCTTCTAATTCTTCCTGTTTGTTTCCCAGGCTTCTCGCATTGGTGTACAAACACCTTAGATAACCAGTTGATTGCCCTATCTTCTCCATCCGAATCAGGAGTCCTTCCTTGTTGCTTGTTGCTTCTTGTGTTTCTTCCCGGTATCCGACTTCCTCACTTACCTCAAGGCTTTGGTCGCTGTCCCCCAATGAGCCTACTTTAAAGCACTCCTTGCTAGGTTTGCAAGCCTGCCCGCGAAGATGTTCTTTCCTCTCTTGGTTAGGTGGATCCCATCTCTTCCCAACAATCCCCATGCTTGGAACAGCGTCCCATGATTGAAGAAACCAAAGTCCTCTCTCCGACACCACCTGTGCAACCACACATTTACTTCCTCAATTCGATGATCCCTACCCAGACCTTTTCCTTCAACAGGGAGGATGGACGAGAAACCCCTTGCACTTCAAATTCCTTGATCCTTCTTCCCAGTGCTACATAATCTGCTGTGACTCACTCAAGGTCATTCTTGGCTGTATCATTAGTTCCTACATGGAGAAGCAGGAAGGGGTAGTGATCCGAAGGTTTAATCACTTTTGGAAGACTCTTGGTCGCATCCCGAATGCAAGGTCCTGGTAAGCAGCACGCTTCTCGAGATTGCAAGTCTGGATGTCAGATGGATGACTCAGTCCCTTTTAGGAGGGAGTCCCCGACCACCACACCACCCGTCGTCGTCTTTTGGGGGTGGTGGCCAAGGAACCTCCATCCGTAGGACTACGCATCCCATGCCTTCCGGTAGATGGTGGTCCCTTCTGATTTCTTCCCTAAGATCCACCCGTCGTCGTCTTTTGGGGGTGGTGGCCAAGGAACCTCCATCCGTAGGACTACGCATCCCATGCCTTCCGGTAGATGGTGGTCCCTTCTGATTTCTTCCCTAAGATGTCTCTGCCAAAGCATTCTCCACTGCAATGCCTGTGGAGAGAGCCTGAAAGCAGTTACTTACCTCTACAGGAATGGGGGATACCTGAGTTGGCCGCTGCCTTTTTCTAGAGGTTACATGCTGCCAGTTCTCTTCCTTGTCCTGCACTGCCCTCACTGGCTCTTCAGCCTGCTGTGCCTGCAGGATTAAACGCTGCCTTCTATCGAGGAAGTCTTCATCCTCTCTGATGGAACGTAGGGTCAATACTTGGGCCTCAAATCCTCTAATTTTTTCTTCCAAAATGGCGACCAGTTTGCACTTAGTGCAGTTGAAATCCCTTCTTTTTTCCAGGAGGAAGACAAACATTGCACATGCTGTGCAGGTAACAACAGCCGACCTATCATCGTCCATACCTGCGTTCCTTTTGAGAGATTCCTCAGATTATTAAACGCCTCCTTGAAGGGCGGGAGTTCTGTGAAAAGATTTTAAAGAATGGCGAGTGTGTCTCATGCCCTTTCCACTCCCTTTCTGAACTTCCTCTCCAAACTCCCTGTTAGCAAGTTCCCCGGTTGCTGATTCACTCCTTTATAAATCCCTGGACTGCTTGATAGCCCCTCTCCCTGATTAAGGCTCGAGCAATGGGCCTGGACTGTGTATTGTGGGGAAGGATTGTTCAGTGAATGGCTGTGCTGACTAGCACTGCTCCATGGACAATGACTGTCAGAGTGGCCAATACACACCTGAGGAATGTATCTGGAAGCCTGCAAACCAGCCAGTGTCTCATGGCTACTTGCATGTGAAACACAGACAGGTCACTTGATCATGTAACGAGCTCCAATTTGGGAGACACCAGGAATATAGAAGTGCCATGAGGACATCTCCATCTTGTCTTCAATCCTGCTTCTGATTCCAGATGTATCTTTGCTGGGGACAGAGCTCCGGGAAGGATTTGCTGACCTGTTCTGATACAGGAGGTACACCAGAGACTTTTAAGCTGGTAGTTTGTAACATCTCTGCT